GCCGAGTAGACGCGGTTCTGCTTCAACTCCCATTGCTGGTACACGTCTGAGGGGTTGCACACCTCCGTGACGACGCGCGCGACCTTGCCCGACTCGGCGCAAACGCATTGGCCGTTGGACTTGACCTTGAGCAACTTGGTTGTCGGGTCGTACTCGAATTGCTCGTTGCTGTTGTAGCGCAGCTGGTCGGCGTAGAGCACCTTCTCGTACTCCGAGACGACCATGCGGTTGGGCGTGCAGAGCTGGACCGGGGCAGCCGCGGCGGCAGTCGTGACGACCAAGAGAGAACCAAGGACAAGCTTCATCGTAAGGGTGTTGGTCGAGGAGGAGGCTGCAAAAGTAAAAGTGGGTCTGGACGATATGTACTGCGTTTATCCTGGCACAGCTTGCAGTTCAAGAAGTTTGCGTGCATAGTGATAGTTTGGTCAATCTCATCGTGTTGATCCCATCCCACCAACTTCTACGACCGAATTTGCGAGCGGATGTGATGTCAGTGGATTCATCGAAGGACGTTCAATTGTGCACAAGCGCCGCGAGCATCATCAGTGCAGGCGCAGCGCTCGCAGCGGTTTGGTTGCTGGACATAGCGGAGGGCTAGGTACCAAAGATATTGCGTAAAGCATGTAAAGAGTAATACGACTCACTTCAACAACAACCATTGCGGTAACGAGCCCTCCGCTATGTCCAGCAACCAAACCGCTGCGAGCGCTGCGCCTGCACTGATGATGCTCGCGGCGCTTGTGCACAATTGAACGTCCTTCGATGAATCCACTGACATCACATCCGCTCGCAAATTCGGTCAGTAGAAGTTGGTGGGATGGGGTCAACACGATGGGATCGACCAAGCTATGACTATGCACGCAAACTTCTTGAACTGCAAGCTGTGCCAGGATAAACGCAGCACATATCGTTCAGACCCACTTTTACTTTTGCAGCCTCCTCCTCGACCAACACCCTTACGATGAAGCTTGTCCTTGGTTCTCTCTTGGTCGTCACGACTGCCGCCGCGGCTGCCCCGGTCCAGCTCTGCACGCCCAACCGCATGGTCGTCTCGGAGTACGAGAAGGTGCTCTACGCCGACCAGCTGCGCTACAACAGCAACGAGCAATTCGAGTACGACCCGACAACCAAGTTGCTCAAGGTCAAGTCCAACGGCCAATGCGTTTGCGCCGAGTCGGGCAAGGTCGCGCGCGTCGTCACGGAGGTGTGCAACCCCTCAGACGTGTACCAGCAATGGGAGTTGAAGCAGAACCGCGTCTACTCGGC